CTTATCTAAAGGAATATTGACAACTGATTGCTGCTAGATGAGGAACATCAGACCTTCCTAAAAGAAAGACCTCTAGATAGGCTGACTAGATTCATCAGATGGACAAGTAGTGGGGAATGGCTGGGGTGCCAACAACACAGCAGACAGTAGCTTGGATATCAGATTATAAGGGCTCTAGTGGGGAGAAGGAGGCTATGGGAAGATGCCAACTGGGAAGTGGGTGTATAGTTGAATAAGATGGTTTGGGATGTTCTGTGTGATAAACACACACACACACACACACACAAAATCAACAAATTTTTTAAAAATGTATTATATTTGAGGAGGAAGCATGGAAATTTACGTCATGTTAATTAGTAGAGGTGATAATCATTACCACTGAAATCTACCCGATGGCTTTATAGACATACACAGGTGCCAAGGATCCAAGTGCAACTGATTATGACTAGTAATAGATACATACGCCAACATCTCAGTGCTAGTAACAAAAACAATGAGTCTTTCTGCAAGGAACAATATATCCTAAAATGAAATGGAGATCTTTTTTAAAGGTTAAAAGCTCATTCAATTCTATGTTTTACAGGGCTTATACTGAGTTCAATATTGTATAACTGTGAACCTAGAAACTTACAGCCACTTGTGAAAGAGATATACTCTTGCTCTGGAGTGTAGTACTGAATATGTTAAAGCTATAATGAAATGCTTCTTCTAATCATGTAGTTATTAAAAATTTTTTAAAAATGATAAAAAAGTGTTCAACGTCATTAGTAATTAAGAAAATGCAAATTAAAACCACTTTAAGATTTCATCTTACCACAGTCAAAGTGGCTAAGATCAAGAGAACAAATGATATAAAATGCTGGAAAGGATGCGGGGAAAGGGAAACACTTATTCACTGCTGGTAGGATTGCAAACTCATGCAACCCTATGGAAAGCAGTGTGGTGATCTCTTAAAAACGTAAAAATGAACCTACCATCCGACCTGGTTATACCACTCCTTAGCATATACCCAAAGGACTCATACTACTGCAGAGATACTTGTACATCCATGTTTGCTGTTGCTCCTTTCACAATAGCCAAGAGATGGAAGTAACCTAAGTTTCCCTCATCTGACAAGTAGATAATGAAAATGTGGTAGATTTACACAATGGAGTTCTACTCAGTGGTAAAGAAAGACAAATCATGAAATATACAGGTAAATAGATGGAACTACAAACTGTTATACTATGTGAAGTAAACTAGACTCAAAAACAATGTTTTCCCTCCTTTGTGGATTGTAGCACCAATCCCTTATATGTGAGTATATATCCTGATTAACTTCAAGAACCAAGAAAACGGAAAGGAATCAGAGAGGTAAAGAAAAAGAAGAAACCTGAGAGAGAAGAACAGTAGGAGACAGGTTTACTAAGGGGGAAATGTGTACAATGGGGGTATTTAAATGGGAGGAGGGAGGGACGGAGGGTTATTCAAGAGACTATGGGAGTAAAGTGGAAGACAGAGCTCAAGAGAGGCAGGACCATAGGAGACAGGTATTATCATGGGAGAAATGGGGAAAATATGGATTCTTTAAATGGGGAGGGTATGGAGGGAGGGTGTAGACAGAGAAAGAAAGAAAAGAGATAATCATGCCTAGCTAGTGTAAAAAACCAAAGAGAATTGTATTAGTCCAAAAACCTACTAAATTTTTCAGTTGGTTTCACATACAATATCTCTACATGAGTCCATATGTATAGCTGAAGGCTACATAACAAGCAACAGTGCCAGACAGGATAAACCTTCGAGTTGTTGGCCAGGGTAGTACAAGAGACTCCCAAAATTACATAGGCTATTGCCATAGTCCTTGATTGCCTCCCAGAACTTGAAGATAAGACCCTATTGCTGAAGACAGGACATACTTCAGGCACAGGATTTGGAGCAATGGAGCTGGAACTGACCCGGAAGCCACTTTCTCCCAAAGACTAGCTCTCATGGTTTTGGAGTGTACTACACAAGATGCTAAGGGAGAAATCAATTGATGTAACAACTCCAGATTCAGAGCCTAATAACCACACCAATGACTGGCACAGCATTCATGCCGTAGTGACACTTTTATCTTAGGAGTAATCAATGGCTACCTAATTGGACTTAAAGCCCACTCAATGGGAGGAAACTCATGTGTGGTACTATAAATACACAAAGCTGGAGAGATCACAGATCTTAGAGAAAACTCAAAGGCTGTCATATTCCTAGACATACATAATTTTTTACTATGTGCAAAATATAGATTCTTATATTTACAGACAGGTATCCTAATCACCACTCATCAAAGAAGCTTATTTTGTAACAGATGGAGATTATCACAGAGTTCCACAACTGGTCATACACAGAGATTGTCTGTGAATTGCCCAAACCTAAGTAGCACATTTACAATGCAACCTCTATACCTAAGGTTCATGGAACATAGAACAAGGGATTAAGAGGACACTAATGCATCTCTCAGTTCTCATCAATGAAGCTCCCTCATGCAACAAAGGGCCAGGAACACAAATGGTCACAAATGGCCAATGCATAGAGGATAAAATTCTGCAGAGTGTGGGTCCTTCGATAGGACCCAGGCAAACTCACGCCAACAAAAACCCTGCACAGAACTGTGGAAATGGGCAACTGGCCCCAAACTTAGTTGAAGTAGTACTGGCAGCTGATTACTAGGTGAGGAAGAGCTCATCTTCTTAAAGAGAGGGACTATAGATAGGCTGATTAGACCTCAATGGATGAACTTGCACTGAGAGACATCTGGGGACACTAACTTGACACGATACACCTTAATGCAAATGACAGAATGCATGAATTCCAGTGGGGGTGTATGGGAGGGTGCCAATGGGGAAGAGTGTATAAAGATGATTAAAATGTTCTTTATGAAATACACAAAAATTCAATAAATAATTTACAAAAAAATCCAGTAATCAAAAGAACCTAATAGAAAGAATTTTTAAACACATATACAAGTGAAGATGTTTGAATGGCTAATAAGAGCACAGGAAATTTAATAGCCTCAGGGGAATGCAAGTTAATACCACAATGGGATAGCTTTTCATGCTCAGCAGTCAAAATTAATGGGAATACTAACAAAAACACCGGCAATGGCACAACACAATGGAAACATTTCTGGTTGAAATACAAAATAGTACAATCATTTTAAAGAAAATCTTGGCAATTTTATACATTGCTAACTAAGCAAACATCAACCCTACCATGACCAGCAGTAACACAAAAATATTTGTAGAATACTCATTATCTTTATTCACCATAGATTAAAAACTAGAAACCTCAAATTATCAATTACAGAATAAATTACAGTACATTCATTGAGTAGAAAAACAGCAATAAAAAATAATGAATTCATTCAACTATATGGATAAATTTTTAAAAACAGTACAATTGGGCTTGGGAGATTCTTCGGTGATTAGGGTACTTGCTGTACAGGAGGGAGGACTAGAACTCACACACCCACACCTAAGCTGAATGGGCAAGGAGGCCTGCCTATAGTCTCTGAAGGAAGCTGGCTAGCTAGATTAGCCAAACCAGTGAGCTGGGTTTACGTGAGAGACCCTGCCTCAATATATAATGTAGAGAGCAATGAACAAAGACACCTACTGTCAGCCTCTGTCTTCTACAGGCATAGACTTGTACACATGTGCCCACACACATGCAAACCTGTATACACAAATGTGTGCACACCACACACATATATACATGCAAGAAATTGTTCATTAAGTGAAAAAAAGTCAATGACGGGCTGGAGAGATGGGTCAGTGGTTAAGAACACTAGCTGTTTTCTTGCAGAAGACCCAGATTTGAATCCCAGTACCCACATGGCAGCTAACAACTGTCTGTAACTATAGTTCAAAGGGATCCAATGGCCTCTTCTGTCCTCCGTGGGCATTGTACAAAAATGGGTGCACATACATACATGCATTCAATACATGCATACACATAAACTAAAAATAATAAAGTATCTAAAAATTTATTTTTAAAAAGTCAATGACAAAAAGAGTATATACGATTCCTCTTATATAAATTCAAAACATCTAATTACTCTAAAGAGACTGAAATAGAACTGTGGCTGTCCAGAGGGAAAAGATGAGGTGTTGACCAGAAGTATGTAAAGAGAAACTCCAGGAGGAATGAAAATACTCTATATGGAGGAGAACAGAGAGTAGGCATGGTTAGAGTATTACACTAATTAAAACTCAAATTGTATATATAATACCTATGCATTTAACTTTACCTCAATAATAATAAGGAATGTACACTGATTATGTTGTTTCTTGATAACAAAACTAAGCTAGCAAAATGTATTATAAAGTTGAAAACTAATTTTTAATGAACAGGAATCCATACTTTTTTAGCATAGTGCCTCAGAGCAGAAGTCTAACTGGGTGCTACATAGATACATTCCAGTATTAACATTTTATATTAACTTATTCAAACTGGTGAACAACTCAAAATGAATGCTCAAGAGAAATGGATACCACATTAATACTGGAAAGAGACTAAACCAAAATTTATACAAGTTTTCAGTCCTTTCTAGTGAAGGTAACTTGAACTAAATAATGATGGCTTTATTTTTCATTGACATTAGCAGCTTACAAAACTAACACAAAATAAACACCGAGTGAATCTCTAAGAACAATGATAGAAAAACTGAAATCTTATGGAAAACTGAATACTTAGTTTATAATCCTCTCTGAATTTATAAGTGGTAGTTTAGCTTACATTTCTTTCTCCATTTCAAGTTGTTTACTCAGTTCTGTAGCTCTAAGCTCTAAATCAGTGTTCCGCTGTCTTTGCTGCTGTAGATCCTGCAAAGCTTGCTCCTTGCTTGCTTTTACTTCAAAAGTATCAGCTTCTAGTTTCTATGGATAAAATAAAGCTGTCATTTTGAGGTTAATAACTACCAATATGGCATTATAGCATTGTTTAAATTCAAATCGACACTGACAAAATACCTAAAATAACCATAATATATTTATGAAAACACACTCTAAAACCTCTACCAAGTAAGGAAGCTATTTAGTTTAAAAGTCTGTCAGAGAATCTAGCACAGACTTTTCACACATAATTAGTAGTCAATGTTTATTTTAAAAATTAATTAGAATAAACTTAAAGCATAAATATTTATTGAAAATGTAAAGTTTGATAATTCAAATTTAAATAAACCAAGTAACAGGTCATTCCTGTACACATTTAATGTACATTACTTGTATATCTGCATAACAGTGAAGCAACAATAAGATACTTAAAATTAAAAGATTTGTGATGTAGTCCTCTAATTGACACCTATGGGCATTAAATATGAAGCAATTAAAATTTTATTGCTTTATTAATATGTTGATTCAGATTATACTATTGTTCTTCACAGTGTACTATGCATCTAATATGTATTATGTATATAATTTCTCAAATTTATTAAAATCAAACTGCTAGATACAGGTTTAAACATAAGCAATGTATTTTCATGCATAACTGTACATTTACATATTCTATAAATCAACTGGTATCTGTAATTCTTATTCATGAAAAATTTCCGATATAACAAATTAATTCTACAATATTATGCTTATGTACATCATATGAATACTTCTTAAGTTACTGATTTCAAAATATTAAAAAGCTGATAATCATGGGACTGGAGAGATGGCTCAGGGGGTAAGAGCACTGACTGCTCTTGTAGAGGACCTACGTTTGGTTCCCAGGACCCACATGACAGGTAATAACCATCCATAACTCAAGTTCCAGGGAATCTCACACTCTCTTCTAACCTCTGCTCGACAGGGATGCACTTACATATGCAGGCAAAAAGCTCACACACAGTTCAATGTATAACAATGTTTGATAATTTTCAATACCTATAATGCTTAAATCAGGTTAGATATATTTATCTCCTTTTCTTTGTGGTAAAAGCATTTAAAAAAAAACCCTTTGTTCTAGCTTTTTAAATGTACAGTATATAGTTCTTATCTATAATCACCATACTGTGCAATAAGAACAGAACTTCTTGTTCCTATGATAAAAAACTACTTTCCAAAGGTACCTAAGTAAGAGTTCTCATTGGTCACTTTTCAGCAACACAGTATTATCTATTCTTTCAACCATATCTAACTTTTCATTACTACTATTGTTCACAGTAAGAAAAAGAAACCTTTACAGAAATATAACTTTAAAGGTCATTCTTCCATATTATACTGGTATAGATAACATATAAAATATCCATGTCTCATGATTGTATAATCATACAACATTCTTCAATTGAACATGGGTGTGTAAGTAACAAAGAAACCTAAGACATTTTTGCTGAACTGATAGTAATTCTAATTGAAAAGACAAGAGACTCAAGCCAAATCCTTCTCTGATACATTTAGTCATTTTATCTCTTCAATAAGTCAACACCTCACATGAAATTGTGTTGAAGTTCAGCTTATCATGATTTAAATGTATTACTAAATTAGAAGCAAAATCCAAAGGGTACAAATGCAAAGTTTCAAAATGAAAATAACTCTACTGTATAAGAAATACTATATTGGAATAAGAAGGAGCTCAAGAGAGGTAGGACCGTAGAAGAAGGGTATTATTAAGGGAGAAAGTGGAGAAATGGGGGCACCTTAAGTGGGAAAACCATGATGGAAGGGTGAGCCAATGTGAGAGATAAATAATGCCTAGCTAGTTTTGAAAACCAGAGGGATCCTTATTACTCCTACAACCTACTGGCAAATTATACACAGAAGATCAAGAAATATATGTCTAGGTAAGGTTTATCTGAGAACAATTGGTCTTTGTCCAAGATTTGTCTACATGACACACAGTAATTAAAAGTACCAGACTGGTGGAACTAACCTTCTTGGGTGTTCTCCTGGGTTGAACCGTTGACTGATTTTTCTCTCTTAGCAGCTTGCAGAGTGTCCTCCAAAATATGAGAGGTAGTCTTCAGGGAAGTGGCTTACAGGACAGTTCCGCCTGCATTGCTCCAAATCCTGTGTCTGAAGTATGTCCTGTCTTCATCAACACTGTTTTATCTCTAGGTTCTGGGAGATAATCAAGGACTGTAGCAATAGCCTTTATTATTTTGGAGTCTTTTGGGCTACCCTAACCAAGAACTCAAAGGGAGGTTTCCCATGCCTGGCACTGTGATTTTTGTTATATAGCTTTCAGCTATATACATGGACTCATATTTATATGTGTATTTTCCATAAGCTTATTAAATACTATATTTCCCTTTGTTTTTCATACCACTT